CCTTTTTTGCCCTTAGGGGAGGTAAAGCCAGTTCCAACCACGGTCACGGATGGACAAACACCACACCCCAAAAGAAGGAGCTCCCCAAACACTGCTCTTGGGTTCAGCGTGGCTAAAAATCCCAAATCCAGCTGATGTGGAAACCTGGGGGGACAGAACTTCAGCCAAGCCCATGAGCTTCACAGCCCTCATCTCTGAGAGCCTCTCTCAGGACTTCCCTGAGCTCGAGCAGTGGGAATGAAAGCTCTGCATCCCTAAAACCCATCTCTGGTCCTCATTCCAGCCCCTAACAAAGGTGATTCCATCACATCCCTTGGGCAGTTGTTCCAACAGCCCTTTGTTCCAAACTCCCAGCTCTCCAGCCTGGCTTCCAGCTGCATCCCAGCCTGGGACTGACAATACCCCCCTTTCCAAACACCTGCCCTGGCAGGACAGGGTGCCCAGGGCCAGGAGGGATGGGCTCCACCCCCACCAACGCTCCAGACCCAGGTCCTTCCTTCCCAGCTGCCTCCATGACATGAGCTGTTCCACGCTCAGAACTCCAACATCTCCAGCTATTCCTGCCACAACACTCACCTCTACAGGGAGTGAGAAAAACCTGGAGGCACTGCTGATGGAAACACCCCCTCTGGATTTATTTATCCTCACCAGGAAACTCCCAAGCTCGGGATAAACAAAAAGTTAAGAAGCTCAACACCTACAACAGCCACAATCCAAGCCCTCCCGTGAAACCCCTTCTCTGCTCTGTGAACAGGCAGATGATTCCCAGCTTGGATGGAACAGCAGCAGTGACTGCAGGACCCAAATCCTCCCAAACCAGCCCCAGAGCTCAGGGATAATCCCTGGGGAGCCACCGACTCAGCACAGCCAGCACAGTTATTCATGGGCCCTGGTCACCAGTGACCACAGGAAGCTGCTTCCATCTGCAGCACATCCAGGAATTCCACAGAGCTCTGGAGAGCTGAGCGCCCTCAGGCAGCTCCACCCACTGAGCTGGGATGATAGCCAGGGAAATGCCCCCTGAGGGAAGGTTCAGCAGGAATAGGTGTATGGGGCAGCAGCACAGGCAGGGAAGAGCCTGAAGG